CATCATTGTTATCTCTTATCTCAAGCCTCGTCATTGTTTTGTCACTTAAAAAAATAGCAGTCTTTTCAGCAGGGTGTCTTGGGCATCTTTTGCTTTGGAGTTGGGGAACCCCAACCGTGGCGGGGGGAGGGGCGGTAAGGGAGGCAAGAGGGTTCAGGGAATTTTCTGACTTTGTCCAAAGCTTCTGGGAAAGGCCAAGGTTTGAACTCCTAGTCCTCTCTGGGGTCCAGGCTGGGACCTGGTGTGGGGCTCAAAGCTGTGGGAGAGGCAGGAAGGGAGTGGTCATCCGGAGCCAGGGCAAAAGCAAAGGAGTCCTTCTTTTTGGACGGGCTTGGGCCAGAGGGCTTCCTCTTCCTCACCAGTCGAGGAGGAGGAGTGGCAGGCAGTCCTTGGCACGCGAGGACGTGCAGGTCCCCTAACCTGTGAGTCTGTTTGCGTTAGGATTGGGGACTTGGATTTGACCCCAAGAACAAACTGGGTGACTTCCTTGACATCTGCAGCCTCAGGCCCCTCATCTTAAAGAGCCCACTCTTATCTGCCTCTTGCCCTGGCTCTCTCAGCTCTACTCCCATCTGCCTTCTTGAGTTCCTCACACCACTGCCCTCCCTATACTGGGCCCCACCTCTGAAAGGTTCCTTCCACCCGCTCCAACTGGCCCAGGCTGGCAACCATGTCTTCAGCATACAGACCATCGGAGTACTGCCTCCCCTCCCCCGAGAAAGAGTTTCTCTGTGTAGCTTTGGAGCCTGTCCTGGAACTCACTCTGTAGTCCAGGCTGGCCTTGAACTCACTGAGATCCTCCTGCCTCCTGAGTATGGAGTACTCTTAAGATGCAAACCGTGAAGGAAGGCCTCACCAAGGAAATCCTTTTGGTACAATTAATAATTTATTAAGATTTGACTGTACACACAGTATACAGTTCAAGCAGTGCCTCTCCCAGCCGCCCCCCCCCTCCAGCTGTGTGGTCTCCCTCTTCATCTGCCCATATGTCGCCAGTTTCATGGGGTTTAGTGGCCTCAGAACCTCATGGGGCAGCCATGTTTGCTGGGTTGTTTTTTAATTTGATGTGTCTGGGTGTTTTTACCTGCATGCATGCATGTGTGGCACGGGCTCGATGAGGTTGGAAGAGGTTGGGGGTCCCCCGGTGCTGGACTTACAGAAGGCTGTGAGTCGTGTGGGTGCTGGGAATGGAATCCAGGACCTCTAGAAGAGCAGCCAGTGCTCTCCACCTCTGAGCTGTCTCTCCGGTCCGAGCAGTGAGTTTGTAGCTGTGGCAAAAGAACCATCCAGGCAGAGGGAGCAAGAGCTCAAGGGGCCTGAGGCTGTGGGCCAGTGTTGCTGGGGAGGGAGGGGGTCAGGCTGGGAGGTGGCAGAGGGGGGCCTTTTGTTTCTGTCCTTGTTTGACACAGGGTCTCACTATGTAATGCTGCCTGGCCTGGGACTCACTGTGTAGACCAGGCTGGATGCAAATTTGCAAAGATTCTGCCGTGTCTGCCTCCTGAGTGCAGATTCCAAGCGTGCACCACCACACAGGGCTCGAGACCTGGGTGCTGCTCTGTGTGGCCTGATGAGGGGAAGGGGGGCTAAGAGCAATTTGTGCTGTATACAAACACTGCAGAATGTGGATGCTGGGTTCATCTGGGGGAGGGCGGCCAGGAGGGAGGCCAGTGTGGGTTTCCGTAGGGAGGACCAGGGCCAGGAGAGGGAAGGCGGTGAGAAGAGGTGGTTTGTGGGCGTTTGGGTTGGTGGAGTTGTGTTCAGAGAGGCCCTCCCAAGCCACATGCCCTGCTGACAACTTGCCTCTGTCCGCAGTATTGTGATTGATTACGGGACTAAAGTGCATCACTGTAAATTGACAGAGCAGGCCCCGAGGATATGTCTGCTGATGATCTGAATAAGGGTCCCCACTTATCCTTAAAGCAGTGACCACGGTGGCCTGCTACCTGCTGGGAGACTCCTACTTCCTACAGACATCTCCTGTACCCATCAGCACCTAGGAATCACCCTAAGGCAGCCTGCCTCACGCTGTCTCTTTCTGATGAGCAAAATCTAGAGCCTTCAGAATCTCATAGTTTCTTTGCCATAAAACCCTTTACCCATGAAAGCCTGACATATAAAAATGAATAGAAAATTCTAAGTTCAGGGGAGGGATGGGGCTCTGTTGATAGAGTGCTTGTCTATCACACACATGGCCCTGGGTTTGATCCTCGGCACCACACAAATGTTGTCCTTAGCCTCCACCCGTTAGATACCCGGCACACCCCTCTGTCAGCTTGGCGACAGAAAAATGGCTCCAGGGCTGGGGAATGCAGCTCAGAGGTACCCAGGATGCAGGAGCCCTGGGTTCTACCCCCAACACTGCATGGGATGGGAAGGCAAAGGGCAGCTCTCAGGAAATGGTGAGGGACCCAAAGGCCAGCAATAGATGCCAGTATCTCAAGGCCACAAACAAACAAAAACAAAAAACAGCACACAAGGCAGCGGTACTGGCTCAGGCCAGCTGGAGGTGCAGAAGTTACAGCAAGACAGAGGCAGAAGCCATGGAGGAAGGATGTAGCCTCAGCCAAAAGTAAATGTAGACATCCGATATCTCCCTCTCACCGCTTTTGATCTCTGTGGAATCTTTGTTTGGCCAAATTCTCCCAGCAGTCAGAAGGCATGACAGACAGACAGCTCCTGGGGAGGGGGGAGGGGCTGGAGGAGAGCGATGGTACACATGTGTGAGTCGTCAATGGGAGCTGTCCCAGGAAGGACGGCAGCAGGGCCCAAGAGACGGGCATTTGAACACGTCCTGAAGGCTGTGAAGCACTGTGGTTTGAATACCGTCTCCCAAATCTGTGTGTTTGAAGTGTGGTCTCTAGTCCAGCAGAGGTGACAGGTGGAAATTTTTGGGGAAATCAATTGGAGATGATCTGCTTGTGGATTTATGGGTAATAAGTCATTGCAGAAGTGGTCTAGCACCATGAATCTGTCTCACCACGCAGTGCCCTCCACCATATTATAATACAGATCGATGGCCCTCAACACATACCAGTACCATGTTCATATGCTTCCCAGCCCCCAGAACCACGGGCTAAGCATAGCTCTTTATAGATTGTCATATCTCCTTATTTTGTCACAGCAACAGAAAATGGATCAAGACACCAGGAAATAGGTATTTCATCACAGGGAAGAGGAGGCAGCGTGCTCGGCATTACAAAAGCACCCACTAACCGAATTGTTTATTTAATCAGGATTGTTTGTTCCATTGATGGACTCTGCAGTGTGTACTCCGTGAAAAGCAAATACCCAAATGGGCAAAAGGGCATCAGATGGAAAGCAGGTCCCCCTCTCACCCCTGACCCTCCGCTATCCGCGACTTCCCAAAGGCCCTTCTCTCCAGTCTGCTCGTATTCTTCTCCCACCCTGACTGCCGCCCCTGTGCGCCAGCACTTGCCACACATCCTGTGTGTATACACGTTCCTGTCAAGATCCCCATCCTTTCACTACCACAGGAGAAGCGGAGGTTATCTCTCCCCTGAACCCTCGGCTGCCAGCACTGTACCACTCAGAAGGAGTTGAGGGGCTGAAGAGATGTTTCAGCAGTTAACAACACTGGCTGCTCTTCTAGAGGTCCTGGTACCCGCATGGCAGCTCACAGCCATCTGTAGCTACAGTGCCAGGGAATCCAACGCCCTCTTCAGGTTTCTGTGGGTACCGCACACATTTGATGGAGGTACCTGCAGGCAAAGCACCCACAACACATCTTAAAAAAAAGTTGATGAGGGAAGATTTTTGTGGATAAACAAGAGTCATAAGATGTTAGAATGATAAACATACAAGACTGTATGGGGGGGGACGAACGGATGGACAGGACAGACAGGGACGGGATGGATGGGGACACTCTTGCCCAGACTTCTTGTCTAAGGACCATTAGTGACTTCAAAAGGTCTTCACTGTGCCCTTCAGGTGATTTAATTTGGGCTGGTGAGATGGCTCAGAGGGTACGCTTGTCATGTAAGCCTGTTGGCCTGAGTTCGATCCTCAGGACCCACATGGTGGGGGAGAAAAATGAACTTGCAAATTGTTTTCCAACATACGTATGTGTGCTATAGCACACCCACACCCACACACATGCACACCCTCCCCATACATATACACAAATAAATTCAGTTTTAAAACCTAAAAATAGATTTAAATTTATTTTTAAAATTTTTTTCTAGACAGGGTTTCTCTGTGTAGTTTTGGTGCCTGTCCTGGATCTCACTCTGTAGACCAGGCTGGCCTCGAACTCACAGAAATTCACCTGGCTCTG